TTAGATGAAATACACACATTTCATCACTGGCATTCACATTTCCCACCTTCCTTACTTGCCAAAGTATATATAATTTAGGATAAGTAGATGAGACAGCACAGTTATAGACAGCTGTTGATTTGCTTCAGACATGACCGGCTACCCCTGGTCATTGAGCACTGAAAATGTGCCCAGTACAGGGAGGAAGTAAATTTTTAATTGTATTTAATTTTATTCAACATGAAGTTTAATTTAAAAACTGACATTCAGTTATTGGAAAATACCTATGTTTTGAATAACTTAGGTATGCAGGTAGATCTTTTTCAACTGTAAATGGTATGAAATCTAAACACAGATTAAATATTTCCAATAAAAATTTGTCAGAATTGAGATGTGTTCTAAGCGTAAAATATACACTGGATTTTAAAGACTTGGCATCCAAAAGAGGATAAAAATATCTCAATAACATTTCAAGATATTGATTACTTACAGCCAAAATAATATTTGGGGTATACTGGTTAAATAAAACAAAAAATAGTAATTAAAATTAATTTTTAAAAACTTTACTGTGGCTACTAAAATTTTAAAATTATACATGCAGTTTCCATTTTATTACTTAGGTGACTGACCCAGACAAAAATACCAGGATTACATGAAAGAGAAAGATTTCCTTTTCTTATGAGAAATAATTTTTCTGATCTAATCATTTATCCTAAGAAGTATTTACTTGAAATCTTTTTATTCTTATATGTTCGTATGTAAGTCCTTCTGAGCCACCAAATCAGTGCTTAACAGCTGCGCAGGCCAGTTGGCTTTAGACAGCTCCTGGAGTTTTTAAGGATTATTTCTTGGCAGCTTTTGGAGGAAAAAAAAACCCCACTAATTGAAAGGTTAATCAAATCGGTCATACTCGTATGCTGGCTACACAAACACCCTGTCTCCACCGCAGAGTAAGCAGGTGCATCACATCCTACCCAGAAGTCCGCGTATTCCGTAACTATCTCCACTTCGAGTTTCTATGCAGCACGGCAGTACTCTGAATATTTTGCAAATCGAAATCTTATTCCAAATTTATGAAACTCTCCTGCACTTCCAGGATTCTACAGAACCTAAAATATTCCACACCAATACGGATTCCATCCGTGGTACATGAAGGGAAAAGGTCTGTCCTGCAGGTAAGTGTCTCTAAGTTTACACAGGTACGAACACGTGTGCTTAAAAGTAGATGATTTCGAGGTACAAAGTTTGTTTAAAAATACCAATGTTGGCTTCCTGTACATCTGAAAAAATTGCTGTTAGAAAACAATTTAAATAGCTCAACAAATATTTCCAGTAGACAATAAATGGATAAATCACCACAGGTCAAGGATTAGAGAGGGAATGGATAATGTTGAAGATACTGATCCTTACTTTAAAAATATGAAATTGTGTGGTGATGTCTACAAAGCCAAACTTCCTTTCCATTTCCAGCAATAACTCTACCTGGTCCTACCCCATCAGAGTTGGAAGAAATACCTAAGGTAATGATGTCTGGAATGCATGAACAGAAAGGCTCTATAGGAATACTGGGAATTCACTCCATTCATAAAATGGGATTCACTGTGTTAGTATTTTTTAATATACGTGCTCCACGTAAACTGCGTTCAAGAGTAAAACTGTAGAGATTGGAAAAATAGAGAATAAACTGTCACTGGGCGTGATGGTGCATGCCCGTAACCCCAGCTATAGCTGTAGTCCCAGCTGCTTGAGCCCAGGAGTTCAAGGCTGCAGTTAGTTATGATCTTGCCACTGCACTCCAGCCTGGGCGACAGAGCAAGACAGTGTCTCTTGAAGAACAAACTCTCAATGGATCACAAATATTTCTAAGAAAGCGTTCATTTCCAAAATTATTATGAAAGCAAATCCAGTGTTTCAGCAACCTATCTATCTGATGCACAAAGGAATGTGAGCACAACTCTGAACATCTATGACAGTATTGGTTAACATGATCTTCAATACATTAACAGTTACTGCCCTTATTATATTTAATAAACTGGTGGCCTCCAATTATTTTATTGTACCTACAACTGCACAAGAAGTGTACTGCAATAAGATCCGGGTTAGAAGCAGGGTGGACATGGCTTCTTATAGTATCACTGGCTCTGATTGGTTGGTGCCTGTGCTTAGTGATCACTAGATATTTTGAGTCTACCTCTGTCTGGGACTTTATTTATTATGTTGATTTAAAAAAAAAAAAAAAAAGGCTGGCTTCCAGAAACTATTTCTTAAGGAGAAAATTTAGTGGAGAATATTTCATCTTGAAATTACTTAAAATGTGATCCAGTTTGATGCAAATCATATAAATTATGCAGAAAATATGGAATAACAAAGGATCACTCAATTCTAAGTAAAGTTCAAAAGTACATTTATTTCAAATGTGGGCAAGATATCAATATAAAAGAAAACAGAGTATAAGAAATAAAAATAATCAAAGTACAAAACATTTCAAATCTTTAACATCCATAATTTAGAGATAGCAAGGTCTTTATTTACACCATTTTGTTTGTAGCTGAAGTCCCGTAACGGTTTTGTGAAAACATTTAAAAACCTGGCAAATGAATCATAAAACCTAATGTGGGCTCTTAAAGTCATATAATACAAAACATAATTTATGTTTCCTCAGAATAAAATTGCACATCTCAATAAGATGCAGTATATTTATTGTATTTGTTTTCCTGCTTTGAATTCTTGTCCCCTAAGAAAGCAGCTGGAAAACAAGAGCATCTGGATGCAGCCCTGGGGCTGCCTCCCGCCGACGGGGACTCTGATCCCGGACTCCAACCACACAGCAGTCTAGCAGCCATCAATTAAATTTATATGTGCGCTTGTTGAGGAAAACAACTTTCAAATGCAAGGCAAAAGAACAGCATTAAATAAAGGTTCCAATGTGAGTTACCCAGTTTTGGCTACTACTTATAACAATGCTATGGCATTTTTCTAACCTATCCAAACCACAGGGGACTTTAAAGCCCCGACACACAGGGCTCACTCAGCCCAAATACTCCAGCTGGAACCGGCATCCGTGCTGCTAACGCTACCCAGGTCACTCCACCAGGCAGCTACAGCTACAGCTGAGCCCAGTAATAGCCAGAGTCGCCCTTATATTAACATGAACAATGCACAACCCTGAAGGGGTGGCATCCCCAAGGCCCTGCCACAAATTACTGATTTCTACCCGTACCTTCAAGAACACCTGCTGACCTCTGCAATTCTAACCCACCCACTCTGAGCAAAATTAGTCAGGCTACAGATATGACAGAAGGCCCCTGAGGTAATACTCACAAAACACCCATATAACTTCTAAAGCAATTCTTCCTTCTGAAAGTAAATGTAGTATATAGTATAGGCTTTCTCAAATATAAATATGAATGGTAGAAAAAAATTTGAAAAAATGCAAAAGTACATATTGTATAAAAAACAAATGCTTATAATAGCATATCTGCAAAAATGTAACAGGTCTTTTATCATTCCTATCAATAACTTCTAATTTCCTAATCAAGGGAGATACGGAATATACCAAGCTCTGATACTAATGACAAGAGTGCTTCTGTACCAATTACCACTCCAGCTAGGTAGGCTATTTATGGCTAAACAAGACATTTGCTTCTGGAACTGATGCTTTTCTCCCAATGGGAGAAGACCCAATTAGGTCTTCTGCCTAATATTATAATCATAAGCTCTTTAAGGCTAAGAGGACTGTGTTTGATAAATGTAATTAACTGGATGAAATAGGTACATATGGAGGGAAAAAAAAAAAAACTCACCAAGGAGTGATGTCATTCTGATGCTTATGACGTACTGAGGCAAGTCCATCCAAAACACAACACGCCCTTGCACGTGAGTGGTCGGCTAGCGCTGGCGCTGTGGGAGCAGGAGACGTTCCTGCGGTACGGCGAGGAGACGCCTGCCCTCCAGCCTGACCACACCGGCCCCAGGAGAGGTGCCAAGAAACAGCACCGAGAGCAGGCCCCCCTCAGTGGGAAACTGAAGTCGAAATGTATGTTTTTTTCATAAGGATTTGCAAAGCATGTTTTGCTTCACTGATGGGCTATTCACATATTAAAATAATTAAGAGATTTTTAATAAGGACTATAAATAACAAATGACAAGCTTTATTTTTTTCCTGAATGCCTGAAATATAAAAAAGCCTGTGTCAAAATGCATTATTATAAAGATTTACCTTTGCAATTTTACCCAGCGTTATTATGTTATTCATTCTGATGTTTCTATTAAGCTGTATTTTTTTTTTTTTTTTTTTTTTGAGACAGAGTCTCACTCTTTTGCCCGGGCTAGAGTGCCGTGGCATCATCCCAGCTCACAGCAACCTCAAATTCCTGGGCTCAAGCAATCCTTCTGCCTCAGCCTCATGAGTAGCTGGGACTACAGGCATGTGCCACCATGCCCGGCTAATTTTTTCTATATGTTTTTAGTTGTCCGATTAATTTCTTTCTATTTTTAGTAGAGACGGGGTCTCGCTCTTGCTCAGGCTGGTCTCGAACTCCGGAGCTCAAACAATCCGCCTGCCTCGGCCTCCCAGAGTGCTAGGATTACAGGTGTGAGCCACCACGCCCGGCCTCTGTTAAGCTGTTTTTATTCGCCATCTCAAAGTTCCTGAGTACAAAGACTATACACAAACTAACTCTCACTTTGAAAACTATAAACTCAAAAATGAGCTGATAAAAAGAAACACCTGTTTATTCTTGCAATTCTCTTCTATTTTCCCTAATTGTCAAATACTGAAATATCTACATAAACTAGACAGTGCAGATCCTTTCTAATTAATATCACCTACTGAAATTGAACTCTCAGTAAGAGAATGTTTCCACTTGAAACTCAAGTGAATATTCTGAAGAGAAAGAACTGTTAACTGCACAAATCACACAGCAAAGCAAGAACAGCAGCTTACAAATACAGTACAGATGTTATTTTACCAAACTTGAAAATCCACTTTCATATTCAACCCATCCACTTTTTGGTCTCTTTCAAAAAGGATATGACTCGTAGTCCAGCGTTTGTGTGAGCACGCCAGTGAGCACGAACTCCGCATTATGCACATCTGAACGAAATGAAACAGCACTGTTAAACAAGCGAGCGCAGCACTGTGCGTGCACACACACGAGCTAACACGGAGCAAGAGCAATAAACCGTACCTATTCCTCGGGCAAAATAGTCTCGACATAAGTGAAGGTCATTTTCACAGGATATTAAGATTATCTCTGACAAACTCTAAGGAGAAGAAGATGAGTTTATCAGTGACTGCACACCGAGCCTCACACACAAGGACGGACTCAACAGCCCCCTCAGCCCACCCACCTTATTCTGCTTATGCTCCATGAGCTTCCGGAAAGACGGCTGCTTAGATAACACTTTTCCTCCCGCACATTCCACAATTGCCTTCATGGTTGAAAGACTTGGGCAGATTCCAGGTGTGATGTAAAAATATTTTGTCTAAAAGTAAAATAAAAATATATGTACTATATATATTCCTAAAATGCTTTTAATTTTTAGAGTACATAATTTTTCATAGACTCTGCCATGAGATTTTTGACAAACTATCTAATTTAATGAAATTATGAAGATGATATTCTCCTACTACTCAACCTGACGTGGGCCTCAAGGAATCCAGCTACGTAAACCGAGAAATTTTTTAAGCATTTTCCCACAGTAAGCCTATGATGATTAAAAGTAATCAGAACTTAAGTTCCTAAAACAAAGTGCTTTGTCAATAAGCAAGAATATGAGGGAACATTTTTTCACAATTTCTCTAAAGTTCGAAATCAGCATTACATTTAACCACTTCTATCTTGTCAAGCAGCAGACTGGCACAGCACAATTCCTGGTCTGTATTCCTTTTCTTTATTTTCTCTAAAATTATTTGGACTCAAACAGAGTAGGAAATGATATTGATGCTTAATTAAGTGATAGTAATTCTCTAATAAGCTTGCTCCTGAGTATACCACAAACTGCTGGTTTGTTTTAACTGCTCATAGAAAAGAAAATTATCAAACATTTAGAAAAATCAGACTATTTTTGGTAAAAAAGAATCTTAACTCAGTATTGTATATCATTCCTAAGTTGGCTCCTTCAGAAGTTTAAAGAACAGATTATCTTTATTGATTTACTTAGTTCTTTGCTACAAAAAACCATTTCCTAACTGTTCTAAGTATCTTATCTAACAAATATTTAAAAATCTTTAGTTCTGAATTATTTATGTACACATTCAATTAACATCTCTCCAAGTATCTTCTCTGGCTAAATACACACTTATTGAGAATGGTATTAAGTAAGCAATGTTCTCCAAAGATTTATTAAAAGCAGAAAACTTAACTTACATGTCTGTCTCTTACCAATTAAATTATTCATAGACATACTCTTTAACGACCTTATTTCTAATAGATCTATTTACTTAATTTTTGGACCAATTTTCAAGAATTACAGTAAAGAGAACCTCTCCGGAGGTCTGTACTTTCCTGGGGGACGACCCCCAGTGGCCGTGTCTGAGGAGGAGGACAGGGCATGCATCGCAGGCGGGCTGAGCCCAATCCTCCTGGAATGCACTTTCCCTCAAATTACCTGTTAATTCCCTTCAACTGGATCATGTGTTACATCTACCTGAACTCATCTGACTTTTCCTTTAAAGTGTACCTTAAAAAGTGGAGAAACATGTGCCCGTTTTAAGGACTCTTCCAAACTGAAAGAGAAAAGCACCTCGGCCTCAGCGTCTCGGAGAATGTAGTTCTGCTCATCTGGAAAACAGAAAAGCACACGCTCTGAGAAGTAGGGCAGGAGCAACCACTCCCAGAACTCCCCCCCTCATTCAGGTACGTATTACTCACGGCTACATTTACCTGTACAGCCTTTGGATGTTTAAATCTCACCACTGTATGTCATTTACTTCCCCCAGAAAACAGCTGGACCCAGATCAAAAAAAAGACAAGCAGGTATTCTTTCTCCTAGATCAGTGGTAATTAACCTTTTGGGGCCACAAACTCTTCTGAAAAAAATTCACTGAAAGCTCTGGACCCCTTCCATAGCTTCAGCCCTCTCCTCATCCCTCTGCTATAGGCTCACCCACCATTTAGGGAGCTCTCACACTCTCCTAGCCCTCAGATCCCAGGTTAAGAACTCAAGCTCTAAAACAACAAGCTCTAAATGATCGTCATGTCCAAGTGTACCTATAACGACCAATTCCTCAATGGCTTGAGGGACAGTAGAGTCAATTAGCTTATAATCAATAAAACTTTACAGATTTACCAAAAATACATTCCTTTTAAGTATATAAAAGTGTACCTCATTTACAAAAGATAGTTTTGCCAATTTTTGAAGACTTCTGAAAATTTTTAATTGACTGATTTTCAGAGTTTTCATAGTCAAATATGCCAAAAGTTAAAGATCACTAAGTGTTTTAATCTTCCTATAAATATGTCTCATATTCAGAAAAGCATTTCTTCTCCTCCATTTCGTAACAACCAAGTAGCCTAACACAGGCAGCTCAAACCCGGTAATACAGACGTCAGAGTGGAAAGGCAGAGAAGGAAGAGTCCAGATTCGGGGTTGGCAAACTGGAGTGGACTAGATGACACATACTTTGGGCCATGTATTATTTCTGTTGCATATTCTTTTGCTCTTTTTTAAACAATGTTTTATAAATGTAAAAACCATTCTTAGATCACGGGCCACAGTTTGTTGACTCTGGGGCAAGAGCAATCACATTACTATAGAAATGCTGAATGAAATCTGTTTACCAGTTGCTATAAATACAAAATTGATCCACCAGTCAACCAGCAGATAAATAAGGCTGCTATACTTTTTTAGGTGAAAGAATGTCTAAAAACTAGAGAAATAAAAAATGATGAATTAAAAAATGAACCAGCTTTGCCTAACTCCCGAGCATGGCAGGCCTCAGGTGCCACTGCGGCAGCCCGGTCCTCCGCCTCGCCGCCCACAGTGCAGGGCTGGCACTGCCCGGACAACCGCAGGCAGCCCCACAACCCCGAGCCCAGCCTCCTGGTGGGCCTGGAGCAGTTGCACCAGCCTGGGGTGCTCTATTAGAAGTCAGATGCTGTTCTAGAATGATCCAGAATTAGTATGATCCAGAATCAGAAAAGATTTGGAGAGACAGAAACTATTCCTGGATGAACACAATAACCATACAGAAGATAAACCACCAAACTATGAAGAAAAGATTAAGGTGTTTTATGAGGAGCAAATACACTTGGATGAGATCTGCTACGTCCTGGACGGCAGCGGTACTTTGTAAGAGATGAAGAGGACAAGTGGATCTGGATCTTCACGGAGAAAGGAGACATGATGACACTCCCCGCAGGAATCCGTCACCGCTTCACGGTGGGCAAGAAGACCCACGTGAAGGCCATGCGGCTGTCTGGGGAGAGCAGTGTGGATGGGTATGACCGGCCAGCTGAGCATGTCAACGCCCGGGAAGAGGGCACGCAATTCCGGCACACGCAGCACAGCAGCGCTCCCTGGCAACCGACGTGTGCCTTGTGAAGGTCCTAAACGTGGTAACGGAGCAGAAAATCAGTCATTTTCTCTTTGCTCTTATGCGGCAAACTTGAGGCCAGATTATCTTTCCTTTGCAAGATTATTTTATCAGAATTTTTTTTTAATGAAAGAAGCTATAAAACTGATTTTTACATGGAAGCAACCTGGAAATGTAAACAAGTCACCTTCATTTTTTCTTATTCAGTCAAGACTAGCGGTTCAGTAGCCCTGTGTTAGTAAAGCATTCGTCTCAAACACACAAGGACATTTCATCTCTCAACGTGCAGCTCCTTGGATGCTCGCTCTGGACGTGACGCTGTGCCTGCCTTGCAGGGAGGTGTCATGGTAGACAACACAGCTAACCGGACAGAAGACACTTTTTTCTCCCAAAATTATACCTTGAGGTGGGGCATGGTGTGGAGGAGGAGGTCTCATGTTAGGGGCACACTCTGAGTTGCTTATGCCACTTCTGTGTTCAAATTAAAGGAACTGCCTTGATTTAAAAGAAAAAAAGAAAGAAAGAAAGAAAAGAAAAATGAACAAAAAAGTACTGTCACACATGAAATGGCATATTTGAGATGTTCATTTCTAGGGGAAAAATTAAGGATGACATGCCTTCTGAAGCTGGTCAGAGATTGCCAAGAAGCAGTTAACGTTTATGAGAGAGAAAATAACACTGAAAAATAAAAGAAAGTACCTAAAACAATC